CTGGGTCCCCCAAGCCGGCGCTGAGCCCTGGCACGGCATATCCTGGCCGGGGGCAGATCTGGCCTGCGCTATGCTGTAGGTGGGCTTGCCCCCAGCCCTGGTCCTGGACCTCCCTGGACCCCCCGGACTGGCCTCAGTGCTCAGAAGGAGCCTGCCTTGCTGGCTTGTTGTGGAGGTCCAGTGTGAAAACCCAGCCTTCCTCGCCTGGGTGCTGCACCAACGGCCTGTGGCTCCCAGCCCTTTCCCGCCCAGCTCCCCTGCCCAGCCCCACCTGCGGCACGGAGCCGCTCATGCAGAGCGAATCTCTCCGCGCCGGTCTGGCTTCTGGAGCCCGCCGCACATGGCCACGGCACCTGAAGGACCCCATGCTTCTGTGCAGGGCAGTGGTTTTGGCAGCCCTTCTTAATAACCTGGCACTGCCTAGGAAGTTGCGAGGGTCCATGAGCTGCTCTTGCCCTCCCCGGAGGGACGTACGTACCCCCCAGGTCCTGCTGGTCAGTACTGGAGCTGTGGGTCTCTGCTCCTGAGGAAGGGGCAGCCAGCAGAAGGATGGGCCCGTAGGAGACAACCTTGTTGTAGTCATGCCCCAGCGCCCGCTTGCTCCTCCAGTGCCTGGGGCATGGCTGTCAACAGAGCCAAGGGAAAGGCGGTGGGACCAGAGGGCAGGGGAGAAGAATGCACGGAGGGCCAAGAGCTGTCCTGGTGGTCTCCCCGGCAGAGGCACAGCTGGGGCTGCAGCCTGGGAGCAGTCAAGACCCCAAAGCATGAGAGGAATTGGTTCCTGAAGGACCTCAGCCCCCTCCTCCCCAAGTCCCAGCATAAGCCTCTCTCCCTGCAAATGCCCAAGAGACAGAGGGAACAGGGAAAGGAGCTCTCTGGTGGGTTCAAGCCCTCATGCCTTCAGTCCAGAGCAGTGGGGTGAGATCCTGCTGCTGGGAGGTGTTTATTGACCTGAGGTACCCGAAACCAGAGCAGAGCCCTTTCTCCAAACAGCAGGCCAAGGGACAGGAGGTCCCCCTGCCTGGCCAGGGCACGGCACAGACCGCCGAGAGAGCTCACCTCGGCACAGGGCTCCGGGCTGTCGGGGAGACAGAGCCGGACACGGCAGTGCAGGAACACCTCGGGGTAGCCAACAAACTGAAACATCTGGAAGCTGAACTTGGCGGTAGGGCTCTCTCCAATGGCATTCAGGTACGTCACCGTCTCATCGTGAGGACACCTGGGACATGATGGCTGGGTCAGCAGGTGGAGAACAACGGGGAGCATCCCAGCCTGGGACACCAGAGCACGCAGGGACTGGGCACAGCCCCCCACCTTTGCTGAACGGGACTATTTCTGTCTCGGTGCCGGTGGGGATGCCTCTCCCTGGCACCCTGCACTGTACCCAGCTCAGGGAGGAGCTGCCACCAGCACAGGAGCTGGCCCATGTCTGGCTCTCCAGTGGTGGAGTGAGCCTGGCTGTGGCTCCCACCTCCTGGACATCGACGTTACCAGCTTTAGCATGGCTGCAGCCACCTCTGAGGCAAGCTCTTCAGCAGACACCCCTCTGCACATCGGCGCAAGGTGTCCCCTCTCCCCTCCCTGCCCTTTGCCTCCCCAGCTGGCCAGGAGCGATGCTAGATGGAACGCAGCACGACTGGCAGCAGAGCAGGGTCAGCAGAGGGGGCTCAGCTATGGGGCTGGCCCCCCTACTTAGTGATGGTGCCCACCATAGGTTCCACCTCGGCTGGTGGCATTGCACATTGCTCCCTGAAGCACCCTGTCCTTAGCACCCAGCAAAGGGACGCGGTTGTGCTCGTGGTGCAAGGAGACCAGACACACTGTGGGGACTTCACTTACCCCTGTGTGATGAGTTCGTGCTGCACGTCCTGGTAGGGATCGGCGCTCGGTGTGGCCCAGCAGTCCTTCACGCTCAGCACGAAGTACCTGAGCTGGTGAGCAGGACATAGAGCGTGTCCGTGACGGGGATGGCCGCGGTCGGCAGGTGGTAGGGCTGGAGGTACAAGGGGGTCTTGTAGAGTCCCATGCTGACGTTGAAGTGTCCTTCTCTGACCACGAACTGCACCAGCCTGAGAGGAGAGGAGAGGAGCAGAGCTCACGAGCAGAACAAGGCGGCAGGGAGGGGGTAGCACAAGCCAGGCCACGGTGCAGGCACACTGACGCTGGATGTGCCTCTGCTCCCGGGCACAGCCTCGTGCGATCCGGGCCCCGAGCTGCCTCTGGGCTGGTAATTCCGTGCCACGTGCCGATGGAGGCAAGGAGCTCCAGAGGTTCCCACCAGCCGGCTGGCCAGCGAGGGGTATGAGAAAGGCAACCCAGAGGGTCCTGAGCCGCACCTCCACAGGGGCCTGGTGGGGGCATCTTCCAGTTCCCACCCCGTAGTTTTTGGCTAGCTGGTTTTGAGTGGTGAGGATAGGAGCAAGGCGGGTTGTGCCTCCCCTCTCTGGCTCTGTCCCAAGCCCAAACCTTGTGTTGAAAAACTATGTTGGGAAGAGAAAGGAAGGCACCCTGACATGGCATTTGTCTCACAGCTTTCTAGTGGCTCCCCGGGCCTTCGCAGATCTCCTCACTGAAGGCGTCTACTTTTCGGCAGGCTCACAGATACCATGTCAGCAGCAAGGTGAAGAGGGACCACTCACTTGTCAACAGCAGTGAGAACGAAGGGCAGCTTCACCACCTGCTCGTACGCGTAGATGCAGGAGAAATTCACCTCCAGCTGAAAACTCCGGGAGATCACACCCCCACGTGCTTCCCGCTCCGACTCAATGACATTGTAGTACGACACGTGGGAGCCATTTTGCTGGAATGACACAGAAACCAAGCCTCCAGACCATACCCACGCCCATACGCAGAGCTCCAAGCTCCAGTTCAGATGATGCAACTCAGCTGCAGCCGCTCCAGGCCTCCTGGACATCTGCTGGGGTTTTCACTCGAGCCCCATCTCCAGGGGCTATGGGCAACCACCACCGAAGTAGGCTGGGGTCAGCATAGTGACCACAGGTGAGGGTCCTTCTGTGCAGTGCAGAGCTGGAGCACTGGTTCCTCCGCACCCTCCCTGACCCATGAATCAAGTGAGGGTCCAAGGGGCTATAGCAGAGCTCAGAGGATGCTGCCAGAAAGCTGAGGCCTCTTATCAGCTAGCAGGAAGCACAGTGAGACTTCCATGCTCTGCTAAACAAGACAAGACGTGCTGCCAGCAGGGGTTCGGTGGAGGCAGAATAGCTTTCTGACAGCCCCCAGGGAAGCCTTCCAAGGGGAAGGAGAGCTTTACAGCACCCAGATATAAAAGGAAACGCCTCCGTGGCTCCCCTTTGCTGGCCTCACCCAGCACGTCTGCACCTCTCACGGCTTGCGAACTATGCAGAGAGGCTCTGCTGGATCCTCACCTGAATTATTGATCCGCAGGCCGTGTGGTTTTCACCTGTGAGAGTGGCTGCAAAGAACAGCTCGCCCTCTTCTTCCCTTTCTGAGACCTTGCATGCCTGGTTCTTCAAGTGGACAAGCTCCCGGGGGATTTTCAAGAGTTCAAACACCTCCTTCCTCACCATCATCTTCATGTGCTCGTCCTCACAGGCCAACTTCAGTACCACATCTGGGGGAAAAAGCCATCTGCAATAGCAAGAAGGAAGAGGCCTGAAGGAGCCCTAGGCCAGCCATGGGATGGCACAGTCACACCGAGCTCAACAGACCCTCATCCCAGCCTTGCTGGAGGCTGCTGGTAGGGCTCTTCAGAGACACCGGGCAGAAGACAAACCTTTGAGAATGCGCAGAATTTAACGTGGGTCTGAGATTTTGTACCAGTTGCCTAAGAACTGCACAAGCCCATGGCCGCCGCTGCTCTGAACAGACCCAGTCCTTAAGCTTAAGCCATCCAAGGCAGATGTTGTGGGTCTGGCCCCTTCAAGGGCTGTCTGCAGAATCACTGCAGCCTGCCACGGGCACCAGAGAGGGATGGCGATCCTCACTTTCAGCTGAAGAAGACACAGTTTTTGGCCAGTGTCTGGAAGAAGCCCTGACTGTAGTCGTGCTGGAGTTTGTGCGTTTTTTCCAAGACTGCGAGGCACAGCTTCTCGACGGCCAAGGTTTCCTTCTTGCAGGAGTTAAGACTTCTGAGAAGGAAGGAAATGGCCTGTGACTGGGTCTTGTACCAAAACGTGTAGTCAGGACATGGCAGTGGGGAATGCACCTGAACCGGGAGCTGGGACGTGCTCCGGGAGCCTGCAGCACAGAGCAGCGGTAACACCGGTGCACCGTGCCCGTCACCCTTCCCTCCGGTGCCTGCGGACAGAGCGGGGAGGGCTCACCAGCGCTGGAAGCCCTACCTTGGCAGAAGGGCCCTGTGAAGCCCGGTTTGCAGCTGCAAACTGCTCTGTCCTCCATCCCTTGGCAGTCCCCCTGATGCCGGCACGGGTTTGGGAGGCAGGCGTCCGGGCTCCTCTGGAGACGGGGGGCAACCCCTCGCCGTGGGCCACGTGTGCTTGCCAGCTCACCTGCAGCAAAGGGAAGGCGAGTTAGCTGAAATGCTCTCCCCTACGAGACCTGCGCGCGTGGAGCCCTGCCCGGCTCGCGAGGGGTGAGATCCTCGCCTAGAGCCAACGCAGGCATGCCTGAGGAAGAACCCGTGACACCCTTGCGCCCCAGTTCCTGCCCCCCTGATCCCTGCTCTGCTGTCCCCCTTCAGCAGTGCCCTGAATGAAGAACCTGGACACGGATCAGGCGAGGGCTTGGGCCCTCCTGTCTGTACCACTGCCCTATGACCCAGCAGGGACAGTGTGCAGGGACACTCACTCTCGATGCCATTGCAGCCAGCCAGGCAGAGGGCAGAGATCAGCAGCCAACATCGCACGGTCCTTTCCTGCAAAAATAAGCAGGCTCTGCGTAACTTGGGTTTCCAGCATGCTCGCTGGAGATGTTTGCAGTCATTCAGAAGGAGCCAACCCTCAAGCACGGGTGCAATTTCTGTGCTGTAGTTCCTCCAGAAAACTACAGGTTCAACAGCACAAGGTCATTTCCCATCCCAAAGGGCCAGATCAGCAACGCCTCCTCCCCGCAGGTTACCACCAGGGTCAAGTACTGTCCTGCGTTTAGGCAGCCTTTCCAGAAAGAGCAGCTGGGAGGAACCAGACCTCGGACCTGCAGGGCTGTGCTGACGGGGATAAAGCCACATTTCGGCAAGAACAGGCACTTGGAGTAAAACTGCACAGCTGAGGCATCAGGCCAGGCTCCCCGAAGAGGAAAGGAGTTTCCCTCTTTCCACTACAGATCTTTCGAAGAGTCACAATTTGCAGAAGGATCCTTGCTTTTCCAGAAACCCACATTCATAACCAGGAGACAATGGGATAAAAAAACCCCAAAGCCTTGAACACGACTGAAATGAACGCCACAAACCCACAGATGAAGTCGAACTCCCCCGTTGGTGCAGATAATGGATTTCTTTAGGGAAATTAATGGCAAGGTGCTGGGATGAGCCCTGGACGCGGGAAGGTCCTCATCAGAGCGGTGGATGTGAGTCAGTGGGGGCCGGTGGCTGGTGCGATGCTCTGCCCTGCAGCTGCAGAGAGCTGGGCAAAGCCACCAGCCCTGGGGCAGCACACCGCGTACCCCCGTGCCCGACCCCGAGCGGCTGTGACCATCGGACCCCCACACCGGGTGGTTCATTCCCTGCTCTGCTCCTCGCCCGCACGGGCCTTATATCGTCTGCTGCAGCTCACCCGTCTCCCCCACGCACGCACACTGCCGCCGCGATTGCACAAGGACCCGCTTAGCATCCTTCAGCGGCCGGGGAGAAAGGACTCGGCGGGAGTCCATCCACCGGCACGGACGGCCCTTCCCGTTAGCAGACGGCTCGTGAACACTGACCCAATCCGTGGCCCCGGTTGGACCCCAGACAGGGGGAGTATCTGGCAAATCCCCAGGAATCTGGGGTTTTGTGCGCCCAACGGGTTTTGTGGTACCTGCTTTTGACGCAGCAATAACACCAGATACCGCAGCGGCACACATGAAGGCCAGATAACTGCGTGTACTCAACACACGCCGTTTCGCAACCACAACGCGCGTTTGCTTTGCCTGTTTTTTTGGTTTTTTTTTAATGACTTCTGACCTCTAAAATCTGGTGAGACGTCCTGGTGGGAGATGGAGGGATAGGGACCTGGTCCTACCAGGCTTTGTTTGGGAAACAGTAACCAGCTGCGAACGGCGCTAATCGCTCCAAGTGCTGCTGCTTGAGGTACACTGACCATCCTCTGGGCACCGCGGGGCTCTGACTGCTACAGGCACCCCAACGCAGCAGCAAACGGGAACATCCACCCGTTTTTTTTTCCTAACCACAATGAAAACCAGCAAACAAGTGTTTAGCACCTGACCCTGCTTACAGCCTAACGAACTACCACTTAAAAAAAAAAAAAAAAAAAAAAAAAAAAAACCACCAAAAAACAAATAAAAGGCAGGGCTCATGCTATCCTTTGCTGCCAGCTCTTAGGTGAGAATCTCTGCTTTGTATTGCACATTTTAAGAAGCAATGAACCGGGACAGAAGCTTGCCCAGAGATGCAAAGGCAGCTCGGCTGCAGGCTTAGCAAGCAACAAAGGAATGCGGGGGCTGGCTCTTTTGTGTGGGTTGTTTTTTTTTTTTTCTTCAAAAGGGAGTGAAATCGTGGGTTTAAGAGCAGTCTGTGCGTCTCTGAGGGGCTGGTGGGCAGGGTTTGGCCGCTTCCCTGTCGTTTTGCCCCAAAATCCTCTGGACCCAGGGGGGCTGCTGCCAGCACCAGGCCGTGCCTCGGGCAGCACCGGGAGGTCCAGTCAGGCCAGCGGACTGGGAGGGCTGGGGCAGCTGGGGGCTGCGGGAGGCACCGGCGGGGTCCCTGGAGGTGGGCTGGGGCCTGCCTGGGGTGGGGAGAGGCCTGGGGTAGGCCGCGGTAGGCGGAGGGCCCGGGGGGAGGGCCGGGGGAGGCCCGCCGCGGGTTTTTCGTCTGCTCAGCGCAGGGTCAGCCTGACCGCAGGCGGGGGGGAGCGGGCAGCCCCCCGCCTCCCGGGGTTTCAGTAGATAACACAGCCTCCGGCCTTGGGGCTGCGAAGCGTCCCGGTCCTCCAAGGCCGCTGCATGGCCGGATGGGCCCGGGCAGCCTGCTCCAGCGTAGGCCAACTCCATTCCTCCAGCTCCCCAGAATCACTGCGGGCAGAGCGCGAGTATTTCTGTGCTGTGGGTCTGGGTGCCACCCCGAATTCACCCTGCGTTTCCTTAGTGCCCAGGAGGAGGAGGAGGAATGGAGGTGCTGGAGGAGAAGGAGGAAGAGGAGCGAAGAGAAGAAGAAGAGCTGAAGGCTTTGGGGGTCGGTGATAGCCACCAAGATGTGGAGACGAAGGCATCTGTGGAGCCGGTCTGCGTCCCAAGCAATCTGCCGTAAGTCATGCATGTCTGTTGGGTACTGGGACGCATAGGGACAGTCCCTCATGCCTTGGGGACACTTGGGGATGGTCCCTTTGGGGCTCACGGGGAGACAGGACAGGCGAGGATGGCACGTGTGGTCCCCTTGCACAGGGCGGGGAGTGAGCGAGTTTCTCGTGCTTGCTGTGTTTCACAGAATCACAGAATGGTCGGGGTTGGAAGGCATCTCTGTGAGTCATCTAGTCCAACCCCCTGCCAAAGCAGGGTCACCTACAGCACGTGTAAGACATGGTCATTCCCTTTGTACGTTCACTTGCTGCTGTATTATGACACCATATAAAGATCTGCCAAAGCAGGGTCACCTACAGCACGTGTAAGACATGGTCATTCCCTTTGTACGTTCACTTGCTGCTGTATTATGACACCATATAAAGATCTCCTGAGCCTCTGGGCATATGTCATCCTCTGGAGTGATGGCTGTATCAAAAACATTCCCTTGGGTATGATCCTCATTTTTTCCCTGGGAAACAGGGAGCCCTGGCCATGTTTTGGTAGTGGGTCATCTTGCCCACATTGCTCCTGGCTTATTACCTGTGTATCTCTGCCTCCTCCTGCCCTGGAAGTGATGTTGACTGGAGCTCCAGTGACACATCCCAGTTACCGTCCTCGTACAAGACAAATTCCCTGAAGAAGCTGCTGCGCATCGCTGACCGTTTTCTCCAGCACTGTGCTCAC